GAAAATTTTCGGAAACGCCCATCTTCTCACAGAAGTCCTTCCAGTGTTGTCAAGCTGGAGAATCCAACACGTCGGATCTGTTTCCCTCCAGCGGACTCAGATGACTCAGACGATTGAGATGATGCGCATACATTAACGTCATGAGCTCGGCGTATTCTCCGGCATCGAAGAGGAAACCGGGAACTGCAGCGGGCCTGTAAGCCATATGCTGCGCCACTGCAGCTCGCTCCTCGTGATATCGATAACGACACCGGACGCGGAATCATTTCACAGAGTAACCTTCAATATTCTGGACAGTTCCCACAATAGGTGATGACAGTTCTTTACGCAAGCATCAATTAAGTTATTGTAAAGCAAACCTGCCGAGACATGAAGCCTCCCTGGAGCCAACCAACCACCTTCTTCGCCAGCGCGCATCTCGTAATTCCGACAATCAACAATTTCTTACAACAGAAACTTGCTACGGTTGACAAACGAGAAGGAGCCCTTGGGGATGCGGTCCCAAAGGTATAGGCGCTCTGTTCACTGTAGGGCAGCCCGCATGATCGGTGGGGGTGTTGCTTTGGGGACAGTGGCAGATTTAACATGGATGCGCCCAGTGGCAAAGCAAGGACATGCTGTGTCAATCGGAATCACGGTAGGGAAGCTGGTGAGCAGGCAGGAGGAGAAACACCGACCTACTTGTAGTAGGAATGACCTTGGGTTAATAAATCATGACGTACTACAGACTCTTGGATAGGCTGTTGGTGCCCCTCGTCACTCTGGAATTCTTTCTTCTAACTGACCCTCGTGAACCTGGTTGCTCCTGGATAGTCAATGACTCAAGCACACACACACGCGTGTACACACAAACGCTGTTCAAGTAGACTCTCTCTCTCTCCCGCCTGCCTTCGCATCAACCTGCCCTGCAAAAGCATGGTTTAACTTAGATAAAAGAAGCGAGCGAAACAGCCTTGCTTCGCAGGAGGGCTGGTGCACCCTGCAGCCAGTCAACTATAGCACAGTCCGCAGCACTGCCGATGAAACAACCACGCCTCAATGAACACACCGTCACACAGGGAAAAACGCGCACTCCAAATGGCATCATGTCCGCAGTCCAGCCAAAGTTGTCCATACGCCCGGGCGCCCTCACGCAAGCGCTGGCACTAGCAGCAGCAGCAGCCGTAGTAGTAGCAGTAGCATTA